AAAAAAAACAAAAAAACAAAAAAAAAAAAAAAAAAAAAAGCATTGGAAATAGCACTACAGATAGTAACAAGAAGAAAGGTCACTGGCCTTTACTATCACACAAAGGGAGAAATGCATACATCTCCAACTGGAAAAAAGCACTGCCTAAACAAAAGCAAAGCTTACTAGAAGCTTGTTTTCTGAAAACTTCAGTTAATGAAATCTGCCTAGTAAATATTGCTGATCCCAGAGTCCAGCCAGATTCAGTTCCCTACTCTGGCCCAAGTTCTCAGACAGTAGGCCAGAAGCGTTCTTCTCACTGTCAGCTTGCCAAATGCTTGTTTGCTTTTTTTCACAATCACCCAGGTCTTTGTTGTCTCTGTGCTGAATTACTGGAGTAGCTCTATCTGGAGCCACCTGCAAGCTGCAGACTTGTTGACCTTTATTCCAAAGACAGGTTGATTAAACTTGGTTATATCAAGACTGTGTTTGCTGATGGCTACTGATTCCCTTCTCTCTGGAATATATGGTCTTGGTCCTGACTCCAAAAAGCCTAAATTGTTAAGGTCCCTGCCACTATCTTCACTGTAGCAACTGCAGCTTGTGGTGAAGAGATGAGCACGAGTCCTAAAAACTGAACTTGTAAAGACCAGAGCAGCAGACTGCAACCCAGGAACCACAAAAACTATTTGGTAGTTGTTCATACAAGGTCTATCTTTGCTTAGGATATCTAAAAAAATAAATCATGTGTTAGCTCTTGTGAGTGTATTAACTCCTTATACCAGGGTAGTAGGATGAAGAGTAGCTTGAAATGTGGATATTTAAAAAATGCATTAAATTCTCCTGTATTCCAACCACAGTCATGACCTATAGTTCCATGCCAGATTCTCACTGTGATATTTTTCTCTACCCAAGCTTCCTCAACAGCATTTTCCTTCTCAGATTTACGCAGTTCGACTGTCAGCCTGGTGGGACAAGGTAAAAGAGCTGCTCCTCACTTCACTGGGTACAACAAAAGCTGTGTGTGTCCAGTTAATGTCAGCTGGAAGAATCATACCTACTTATGTGATGCACAGGTAATGAGGTAATCAGCACATTGGTGCTTTTACCCAGGAAACACTTTACCTGTACCATGTGCCAGAGCAGTCAAGAAGACAGATGCTTACTAGGGAAGTGATGAAATTAACCTGATAGACAGAAAACTTCATGTCACAAATACAACAAAGCTGTTGTCTCTCATTTCCATCTCAACCTGACTACTGCAGGATAACTATTTTTGGGGGGCATATTGCCTGTCCAGGATTATACCAAAGAGAATCTCTAGGGAAAGCTTATAACAGTCATCCCATAGACTTCCTCTTTATCTCCGTGCAGCTGTTCCCATCCTGACCTACTGGCCCAATTTATTGTTAACTTTTTACTGAGGATGCTTCTGCAGTGATTCCAGATGTGGTTGAGCTGCAGCCTTCACTCCTTCCTCTCCAACTAGACTGAGCAGAGAGCTCCAGCCTCATTAACGGAGAAAATGACATTGGGCTTTGACAAGCCAAAAGACCTACATCTATTTTCTTTGAATAGTTTCCACTCAGAGTATTCCCAGAGACTTGCCATATTTAGTACAATCTCAAAAACAGGGGGAAGAGCCATTGTTAGAAAAAAGTAAGGACACCCCTGGTGCCTTCTATTGCTGTTAAACTGTTGACTATCTCCAGTGCCGTATTTTATGCTCAGCATAGCTCAGGGTTTCACTTTGCAGCTCTTGAAGCTTCTCCAAATGTTTGTCATCCAAAATCTCCTTTCCTTTAGTCAGTCATCTCTTATGTCTTCCTTCCTAAGAAAGACTCTATACTTTGTTTTCTTGTTTGCTGTCTTTTACTAATCTATTTGCCTTATACAGTGATGAAATCACAGCAGTGACTTACATGCAAAGGAACAACTCAAAGCCACAAGGTTTCTGAAGCCAGAGACAGCCTAAGTTTTGAGGTAACTGGGAGGAAAAACAGATTTTATATTCAACACAGCTGGGAGGAATAATCTCCCTGTGTATTTCCAGCTCCATCTGAATCAAGGGAACCCAAGTTTGATTTCTCAGCCAAAAGGGTGCCAGCTATAGCTGAAGAGCTGCACTGCGGAGTAGACGAGGGAGGAGCTGAAGCAGTTTGGCACACGAGTACATAGATGCCTGGTCTGCTCAATGGCAGGAGAGCTCAGTGCTCCAATGGGAGACTGCTGTGCACTACTGGAATACAGCACCTTCCCTCAATGAAGGAGGTTATCAGTGGAAAGCTGCCTGACCTGAGCCAAGCTGAATGATGCCTGGTACCTATTTTCTTCCCTCCTGGCTGCCAGATTGTTGCGCTGCTTGTTTGAACCTGGGATGGCAAATGATGGGAGAACTGCTTTCAAACTGTTTAATAACAGTGATGGTAACCTCTGACCTTGCTGAATAGCAGCGCTTTTGACCTTTCATTTGTTAAATAATACAACCACTTACTTCCCGATGCTTATCAGTGTTTAGTAATTGGGGTCAAGACAAAGCAAGGCAGAATACAGTTACCCTCCAGACTTTACTGAACCAGGAAGAATTTCCTTAAGCTAAAGATTTCCTTTTTGATAATCTTCAGTCAGGACAGGCAAAGACTGGAGACTGGGTGGCTTAGAAGGTCCATAACAAGCTGAAGAGCCTCTCAGCTACTAGCATATGGTTTGAATCCAATTGTGGTTGACAGTGGCAGAAATTCATTATGTCTCATTTTGCCTCTCTGACGTGTATGAAATGAGTTTGGCTTGCAGTTCTAGTGGTTACTGGCCAGCCAGCCAGCCATATAAAAAAATATTAGTGTAACAAATGGTTCTAGAGACATTTGTGATTAAATGAGTTTACAATGATTGAAAATGTCTGTTCCCATAGGGAAAATCAGGCTAAGGCATGGTGGTAGGTGACAGCACGGACAAAAAGTTTGTGGTCACTCCTGCATGCTCTGCATGATTCACGTTAAAGAGAGGCGGTTAACCTTCAGGAATGCAAGTTGCTTTTTCTGAGACCTAAGTAAAACAAATGGGTCGGATTGCATGCTGGTAGGTCATTAAACATCGCACTTGACAGACAAGCAGGTGACAACTGTTCCAGAAAGCAGTCCCAAGAGCTGTGCTTTCCTTAGATGTGAGCAGGAAATGGATGAAAAACAACTCCAAGAATTTACGATGTGACAATGGATTTAGATATTTGTGTGTATACATATATTTATATAACGTGCATATAAAATTTTAAACTTTCTTAAGACATCAAACAAATTTTATTTGTCTAAGCTGCTGCATGACCTCATTATTTATTTACTGCAGTTTGTATTAAGCTGGTCTGCACGATTTGCATGGCGGGAGCTATTTCTTGAATGTCTGTCTGGGTGTGATTCAGCAAAATAGGCCCCCACACAGCGATACGAGCACTGTCATCTAGAAATGAGAGCATAAGCCACTGACTTACAGACATACATGAGCTGAGTAAGGAGGTCAGTAAAAATGATGCTATGTAGTGAGATGCAGATGTATTTTCTGCTGATGTTTCCAACAGAAATGAGGGTATGGTGGTATCCCAGCTAAGGTGCAATGCAACTGAAACGTCCTCCAGTTTTCTGATGTACCTTTGTGTTCTGGCCTCTCGAAATGGAGGAACGGCACACCACCAAAGCAATGCTGCCCACCCCTGCCAGCATTCCTAATGCACTGCTTGTCAGGATCCCCGGGTTGTGAACAGGGTTATGGTTACACGGGACCATACAGCCGGGAGTGCCACCGCAGCCACGCCTGCCTGCTTGCCGAGACCAGCCCAGGCTCCTAGAGCCCACTTTCTCTCCGGTCGCGGCCTGCTCACTAAACCTCCCCAGTGTCCGCCGCCATTTTCCACCAGCGTCGGCCACGCCGTTTCCATGGCAGCGGGGAGGAGTCGCTCAGGCTCCGTCTTTGATTGACGTTCACCGCCAGCGGAAGTCCCGCCCGAACGACGGTCGCCCGGCAACGGCGACGCGTTGGCAATGGAGGCGGCCGCGCTGCCCGCCGCGCTGCCCGCCGCGCTGCAGCTGGCGGCCAGCGGGGACACGGGGCTGAGCCTGGAGAATCGGGCGGCGCTGCAGGCCTCGCTGCTGCTCCTGCAGCGCGACTACCGCTTCGAGAGGGTCTGGTTCTGGGGCTGCATCCAGGGCGTGCGCGGCACCTACTACATCGCGCAGGGGCTGGGCCCCGACCTCGCTGCGCCTCGCAGCCGCCTCTACAGGTGCTCCGCAGGTGCTCGGAGGGGAGCGCGGGGAACGGGGAGGTCTGCGAGGCCCCGGGAGGCGGGATGGCGGCGTGGGGGACGAGGAGGCTCGGAATAAGGGGGCTGGGGTTGGGGAGCCTGGCCGTGCCCCGAGGGCTGCGCTCCGTGTCTCACGGGTCCGTGGCTGACAGCTTGAACTGTGCGGAGTGGAGCCTCCTGCCGCCGGCGACCGAGGAGATGGTGGAACAGGCCGAGCTGCTGAAGGGCCGCTTCCAGGGGGATCCGTCTTTTGAGTACGAGTACGCCGAGGTAAACGCAGAAGATGACGAAAATTTCCTGGATGAGGGTAAGGAGGTAAATACAGCAAAACGCTTCCCAGCTCTCTTTGCTGCAGTTGTATCCCTCGCACCAAACAGACTGCTCCTCATTTGTCATGAACAGCTGGTGGGTGACAGAAATGGCCTGATTCCACTCGTGTGTAATTGGCATTTGTGTCCCAGCTGACAAAATCTCCCACTGAGGGGCAGCTCTTTCCTCAGATCCTGTGTGCTTTCAGCTGGACACCACAGACTGCTACCCTAAAAGTTAGGAAAATGAGGATCTGTGGGAGTCTGTAGCTCCTATTTAGAGAGGCTGTTTCTGAGGCTGGTTTAGCATTAAACATGGAGATTGGTGGCCCTGCATGTGGCAGGGGGGTTGGAGATTCATGATCCTTGAGATCCCTTCCAACCCTGGCCATTCTGTGATTCTGTGAGGCTTCTTCTTAGTTCTCAGAATGCTCCTTCCAAGATGTGTGCCCTCAGCAATCTCGCTATTCACATCAGGTGGAACATACAGTTTCCTGTTTTCTGTCATTGCAACAGATTCTTGATTGAACTCTGCCTTCAGTTATTCCTTTAGATGTGTCTGAGAAATACTATTTCTCCTTTATGCTTTATTATGTGCAATTGGTACAGATCCTGAAGCATTATGCAGGACCTGCAGGTACCCATTCATACTAAGTATGATAAATAAGCTATTCAAGTAATTTATCTGAGAGGGAGGAATGGATGAATGAAGGGAGGGACAGTTAATTTTCTGGTGAGTCTAGACTGTTCCTAGCTAGCAAGATATCTTGTCATATCTTATGAAAATAATGTCTGATTTATGATGATCCTCGTGGTGCCGTTGGGCTCCAAGCTGAATCTGTTTTGGTTTCTGTTGTCACATCAACTTTATTTTCAGAAACATCATCAAGGAAAGCCCTGCCTTTAAAATTTGCCGTCTTTTTTTTTTTTTCTAAAGCTCACAATCAAGGAGGAGAATCGCCTTGTAGCTACGATAGAACAGATAGACAGAGCAGTTGGTATCATCCCCCGACGTGCACTTACAAAGACTCCTCTTGGGTCTGTGCATGAAAACAGAAGCTTTGAAGGTAAATTTTCATTGTCTGTATCAGGATCAGCTGTACTTTGATTATAAAGGCTGTAGAAGAAGATCAGTTTTTCTCTGTGTCTAGCTGATATTTTGATTTCAGCTTTATTTTTTTCCCTGGGTAAGATGAATAGGGAAGAGACAGACCAATGCCACCCCTGCAATTGTGATTCACCTCATAGAGCGGTGAATAAAATCATTAATGTTCAGGTGTGCAATTCAACTGGAAGGTGGGAGTAGAATCTGAGTCAATAAACCTGTACTTTCATTTGTCCATGTATAGTTTATGTGGGTGCTTAGCAATTACACCTGCACTTAATTCTCCATCTGCACAATGGGATGTAACAAATGGGCACAGAGTTGATCGTGACTCAGAACCCATTACTTATCTGAGACCACAATTAACATGGTTTGCAATGCACTAGGGAGTCAACTGGGGAAAGCCTATGACTGTCCTGTCATAGGTTGCTGCAGAATGCTGCAGGCATTAGAGAAACAATATGACAGTCTGTGATGCAATGTTCTGCAGCCCTGCACGCTGTATTAATGGTGAGGAATGGCTGTTTGCAGGTCTTTCCTTGACGGAGGCAAAAAAATTAAGTTCCTATTTCCATTTTACTGAGCCTGTTCACTTGAAGAATAAAACTCTGCTGGAAAAGGCTGACTTGGACCCATCCACTGACTTTCTGGACTCTCTGGAATATGATGTCCCACAAGGTAAAGACAGCAAAATCAGGAGATACAATGAAAGGGGAAGGTGGTCTGCATAGTCTGAGAAATACCGTGGAGACAAAGTGTGAATGACAGTACAGTTGGTATGCTTAGAGGAAGCTCCTGTAATCTGTAAAGGAACATTATCTTTCCTAAATATTGCACTTAGTTCCTTCTTCAGGCAATTATAAACACTTGAAATAGTAAGAGTACCAGGGCTGTCACATCCTCACTACCGGTCGAATGCCTTCCCTGCTCTTGGCTTAGTGCTATGTCACCTCCTGACCTCAGTAAAGCCTGTGACAGAGGTGTCCCTATGTGCGGAGATAACTCCACCTCTGACAGGGAATTCACACGGCAGGAAGTATTTCACACCTCCTGTCCCACCCAACGTTGCTCTTCTTTTCTTTAGTGGTCTTTCATTAACACTAAGTTTATATCCTTGAGAGACTGGATCGAAAGTTTATTTTGATAAACTGTTAGAAATGCTGTATTAGGGTATAATCTGTCCTCCAGCAGGATTACAGAGTTTAGAAGGAAAAACATAGTCACATCACATCTCTACTCTTCTGGACAGCTGTTAAATATACATGTGCTGAAAAACTCATTCAGACATTCCTCTGGTGGGATCTTTCTCTGAAGAAGTGTTACCAGTTTGGATTTCTGTTACTGTTTTGCTTCTGGAGCAGTAAATAGGACCTAGTTTCTCATTCAGAGTGAGAGTAAGTCTTCATATATCCCATATGGTCTGCAGTTACATTCCTTGTTACTGTAGTACATTTTTAAGTACAGAACTGCTGAATGTCTGTAAACTGGGAGTGACTTGTTATTTGTTTCTAACTGCTTTTTGCTGATTTGATGCCTTTTTGGGCTGGGACAAGTACTTCTACCTCCTCTGTCTAGAAAAGACTCTAGGTTGAGTCACAATCAGACATTGTTTGCTATTTTATTTCTATCCCGGAGCAGCAGGGTAGGATAATAACTGTCCTGTGCTAGACTGAATTGGCTGTAAGGACTGGCAATATATACATAATATATACATATATTTGTCCAATCTTTCCTTCTCAAAAAAAAAAAAAAAAAAAAAAAAAGAGAGAATGAAAGTAGTGAGTTCCAGCCTGAATTCTGAACATTTTTTGACTGTTCAGACCATAAACAGTGTTGAAAGGAGAACTGTCCAACTTACTGGTAGTGTCCTTGCTGTAGTGTCATTTTTTGGAGGTATAGTCCTGAGATACTGTATGTTTTACATATACTGGCTCACTGAGTTGCCCCTTTTAGACTCCGAAAAGAATACTGCAAGTGGAGTTAGCTATTAGATACTTACTAAGAAAATCTTAGCTGCAGTTTCATATGGTAGTGCAGGTGCTGTTACTATTTACATTTTCCCCTCTTTCTTTTCCTAGGATTTGTGATAGGGGTGCTCCTTACTTTTGTGAGATTTGCAGGCACAAGGCCAATGCAGCAGTAGATGAATCTGTAGTGCTTTCTGTTTCCACTGGAAAATGGGCATTGAGGGTTAAGATCCTGAAGGCTAATTTGCATCAGAGAGCTGGGTTTAACTTCAGCTGTGATGAAGAATGGCAGCTTCTAAAGATCAGAGATCTCACAGTGCAGTTTCCCATCTAGTTAAAAGGACAAGGCAACTGGCAAGTCATGAAGACATGGAAATGGTGGTTTCGTGGAAGTCTTTAAATCAAATTTGACTTGTAGCTTTATTTACCCAGTGGCAGATGGAAAGTAAGACTCAGCCACGTCATTGTCATGTTTGTCTTCTTGTGGCAACCTGAGGTTTGTATAAGCATGAACCTTTGCCCTCTTCCTGGGAGCCTGTCACTCTTAATGTGGTTCTCAGTCTCCTCAAAAAAGGTTACCTGTGAAAGACTACCTGAGCTCAAATGTAGCTGAGTGCTTCTTAATGGAAGAGTAGAAGATTCATCATAGTGCCTCTGCAGCTCTGGCTGTATTGTCCTGCTCTTTTTAGATTGAACCTGGGGATTGATGGGACGAGCTTGTCAAACTAAGGAAATAAGACGAGAACTGATTACAGGATCAGCAAAGCATATAGCTTCTCTAATTGCACTCTGTCATACGCAGATAGGAGCTCTGACGTTAATAAAAGATTAAGCCACCTCTTTAACAAGCATTCAGGTTGCCTGAAGTATTGGTTGCTTGCAAAAATATAATGGAAAAGAAAAAGAACATGGGACAGACACAGGCTTTGCACTGATTTTTATCAGCACAGCTCTGCCAAGGTCTCTCATTCTTGGTCGCAATGCAAGCCTTTTGAACTCTGATTCTTGGATCACTTTCTTCCAACTCTGCCAGTGCATGTTAGTCCTGACCTAGAGCAGACAATGCTTTTTCTATTTCTTGACATGTTGTTTGCAGCTCTGGCAAATCCCCACATTTTGATCTGAAGGTTTTTCCTGCCTTTTCTGGTGGGATCCGTTTCTTGAAAAGTTGTTATCAGAATCAAAGCAGGAGTTCCCAAATATTCCAGAATAGACTGTGACCTGAAACCAGAATTGTTTTTGCCCTCAGTGTATATATCTAAAAAGTAGACTAGTTGGTGAGTGACATCTTGGTGGTGTTCCCAACCTTTATTGGCTAGAATTCCGGTAGTCTCTTAAAATACCAAAAGAACAGGACTGAGGGATGAAAGGCTGATTTTTCCCTGTCTAAAAGTAACAACTCTGTTGGAACAGTTTTCTTTATTAATTGGAGACTGAGCATCTGTGACAGATGTCAAGGAGGTAACTGTCATAAAATGTATGGCGTGTCATTTTGGAGAGCAGAGGTGTCTTACAGAATGGAAGGTTGGAGGCAGAGAGAAGATTTTATATGACAGCTGAGAGGTGGGAAGAAAGGAAGTTAAACCCAGATTGAATAAAGGATGCAATGATAAAAGCAAAGAGTTTAGTGCAAGACTGCAACAACTGGAGTTTTATAACAAAACTGTCCGCCACCCTTATCTTTATTAGTAATATCTCTGGTGATTGCAGGTTCCAGATTCTGTCTGTCTATCTATGTGGTTATCAGTGTACTTAAAGAGTTCAGAATATGTTGCTGGTCCTCTCCTGATCATATTGTGAGTCTGTCTGGTTTTCGTGGTATCTCAGCTCCCTGAGGCAAGTGACTGTGTGACTTAGTTTTTATTTAAAAAAATTAAAAAATATATAATAATTTATACACACACACACACACACACACACATATATATATATAAATGGAGAGAAAAGTGGGAGAATGTGAACACTACCATCCTAAAAGCAAATTCAGTCTGCTTCCCCCCTTTAAGATTTCCTGTTCTTTAAGCAAAAATCATGAATTTGAGTGGCCTGACTCAGGATTTTTGAACATGGAGGGACTGTGATACTGATCTTCTGTCACCACAGTATCAGATCATGCAATGCTTCATTTTGATCCAAATGGCCAGCTGGCCAAAATGTTGCATGCTGGGATCTGTAGGTTTTGCTGGCCATATGTCTGCATTAAAGATAAGCTTGTTTGCTCTAGTCTAAGCAGAGAATCTGCTTAAATTTATGCACAATTAGATGTAGCCTTTGAGCTGCTGGCACACTGCCAGCATGGTCTTTTCTATTGCAGGGAGTTCAGCAGCCTGGGCAATAGCATTTCAGGAACTAGAGTTATGGCAGTTTTACATATGCTTGTAAGTAATATAATAGCAAAGCAAACAGCAGTAATTTCTAGCATGCCTACAGCATTTTCACTTGACCTAATGTTGTGTAGCAATGAAACAGTAGTCAATTGTCACGCACTGGCGTGGTGGGGAAAGTGAAAGAGGAAGGATGATTTACTGTGATCGTGGTACTTGCTCAGGCTGTGCTACATTCTGTATGGAGGTAGGAAAAGGATGGGATAAAGCCCAAGGTACTAGCATTGAATGGAAAGCTGGGGAGGAAGTAAAATAGGGGACAGAGAATTGAGTTCTTAGACACTTTTGAACTGCTCTTCAGGAAAAAAAAGTTGACTTTGAAGGTTTGTGACAGATTACCAACTCAGAACACTTTGAAATGGAAATAAGGAAGACCAACAGGGCGCTGTTAAACACTGATGCAGAAGGGAACTATGTCAGAGGAGAGAAAAAGGGGAGAAAAAAAAGTAGATACAAAAAATAAGTTGAAATAGAGTTTCTTCGAGAAGAGTTTGTTAGAAAGTTGTGACTTCCAGTCAAGAAATAGCAACTTTTGGCAGAAAGCCTACCCAATTCACTGGTAACTGGTGATGTAAAAAGAAGAATTAGAATTGAAAAACGGTATAAAAGGAAATGCAGAAAGGTGGGAACAATTAATGATTTATATAAGTGGAATTTATGACAAGTAGAAAATGACAGAGGAAACCAGAAGAATAACCTGGAGTAATCCATAGCTGTCTAGTTTGAAAACTATAGGAAGGGATTTTTCGAGTATATTGAGAGGAAAGAAAACAGAGTAACAGTACTGGTATCTTTCATTATATGGTGATGGTAAAATGGCTGATAAGAATGTGGAAGAACAGAAATGCTCAACAGTTTTTTTTTTGTGTGTGTGTGTGTTTGTATTTAGATTGAAACAAAAAATATGGACTTGTATCAAATGAAGACAATCAAATACCATTTCAGACAGTTTTCTGACTAAGGGAGAAGATAATTAGGTAACCTTTACTGTGGGCCAAAAAAAGGAAAATGGCAGAGCCAAATGAGTTACTCCTGAACGTATTATCTCAGCAGGCTTCTGGCATAATTCTGATGCTAACCTTTAATTAATTCCAGCACTGCATACATACTCCCTAAACTGCTTTTGATTTGGTTGTGATTCAGAAATCACTGAATGGGTGTGTTCCTGGCAGAGAACAGAAGGGGCTTCAGCTGGGACCAGTGTCAGTGCTGATATTCTTCAGCGTATGGGCTGGAAATGTGGGACTGGTGGAGAGATGAGTAATGACAAAGGTGGGACAGTTACAGTGACCTGGCAAACCTGGCTTACTACAATGAAGTATATTTT